CGGTATTCAGGAGGTGCGGTGGACTGGTTCTGGTTTGTGTAGAGGAGAGGCTGCCACTCCTCTGTCAGGAGCTCTACCGGTACCGCCTTGATCTCTGCGGTATTCAGGAGGTCCGGTGAAGTGGCTCTGGTTTGTGTAGAGGACAGGCATCCGCTCCTCTATCAGGAGCTGTACCGGTACCGCCTGGATCTCTGCGGCATTCAGGAGGTCCGGTGGAGTGGTTCTGGTTTGTGTAGAGTAGAGGCTGCCACTCCTCTGTCAGGAGCTGGACCGGTACCGCCTGGATCTCTGCGGCATTCAGGAGGTCCGGTGAAGTGGCTCTGGTTTGTGTAGAGTAGAGAGACTGCCGCTCCTCTGTCGGCAGCTGGACCGGTACTGCCTGGATCTCTCTGGCATTCAGGAGGTCTGGTGGAGTGGCTCTGGTTTGTGTAGAGTAGAGGCTGCCACTTCTCTGTCAGGAGCTTTACCGGTACCTCCTGGACCTCTGCGGTATTCAGGAGGTCCGGTGGACTGGTTCTGGTTTGTGTAGAGTAGAGGCTGCCACTCCTCTGTCAGGAGCTGGACTGGTACCGCCTGGATCTCTGTGGCATTCAGGAGGTCCGGTGGAGTGGCTCTGGTTTGTGTAGAGGAGAGGCTGCCACTCCTCTGTAAGGAGCTGGACCAGTACCGCCTGGATCTCTGCGGTATTCAGGAGGTGCGGTGGACTGGTTCTGGTTTGTGTAGAGGCTGCCGCTCCTCTGTCAGGAACTGGACCGGTACCGCCTGGATATCTGCGGCATTCAGGAGGTCCAGTGGAGTGGCTCTGGTTTGTGTCGAGTAGAGGCTGCCACTCCTCTGTCAGGAGCTGGACCGGTACCGCCTGGTTCTCTGCGGTATTCAGGAGGTCCGGTGAAGTGGTCCTGGTTTGTGTAGAGTAAAGGCTGCCGCTCCTCTGTCAGGAGCTGTACCAGTACCGCCTTGATCTCTGTGGCATTCAGGAGGTCCGGTGGAGTGGATCCGGTGTGTGTGGGTGTAGACGAGAGGCTGCCACTCCTCTGTCAGGAGCTGTACCGGTACCGCTTGGATCTCTGCGGCATTCAGGAGGTCTGGTGGAGTGGTTCTGGTTTGTGTAGAGTAGAGGAGAGGCTGCCGCTCCTCTGTCGGGAGCTGGACCGGTACCGCCTGGATCTCTGCGGTATTCAGGAGGTCCGGTGGAGTGGCTCTGGTTTGTGTAGAGGAGAGGCTGCCACTCCTCTGTCAGGAGCTGGACCGGTACCGCCTGGATCTCTGCGGTTTTCAGGAGGTCCAGTGGAGTGTCTCTGGTTTGTGTAGAGTAGAGACTGCCGCTCCTCTGTCGGGAGCTGGACCGGTACCACCTGGATCTCTACGGTATTCAGGAGGTCCGGTGGAGTGGTTCTTGTTTGTGTGTGTAGAGGAGAGGCTGCCGCTCCTCTGTCAGGAGCTGGACCGGTACCGCCTGGATATCTGCGGCATTCAGGAGGTCCAGTGGAGTGGCTCTGGTTTGTGTCGAGTAGAGGCTGCCACTCCTCTGTCAGGAGCTGGACCGGTACCGCCTGGATCTCTGCGGTATTCAGTAGGTCCTGTGAAGTGGATCCGGTGTGTGTGGGTGTAGAGGAGAGGCTGCCACTCCTCTGTCAGGAGCTGTACCGGTACCGCCTGGATCTCTGCGGCATTCAGGAGGTCCGGTGAAGTGGATCCGGTGTGGGTGGGTGTAGAGGAGAGGCTGCCACTCCTCTGTCAGGAGCTGGACCAGTACCGCCTGGATCTCTGCGGTATTCAGGAGGTGCGGTGGACTGGTTCTGGTTTGTGTAGAGGCTGCCGCTCCTCTGTCAGGAGCTGGACCGGTACCGCCTGGATATCTGCGGCATTCAGGAGGTCTAGTGGAGTGGCTCTGGTTTATGTAGAGTAGAGGCTGCCACTCCTCTGTCAGGAGCTGGACCGGTACCGCCTGGATCTCTGCGGTATTCAGGAGGTGCGGTGGACTGGTTCTGATTTGTGTAGAGGAGAGGCTGCCACTCCTCTGTCAGGAGCTGTACCGGTACCGCCTAGATCTCTGCGGTATTCAGGAGGTCCGGTGAAGTGGCTCTGGTTTGTGTAGAGGACAGGCATCCGCTCCTCTATCAGGAGCTGTACCGGTACCGCCTGGATCTCTGCGGCATTCAGGAGGTCCGGTGGAGTGGTTCTGGTTTGTGTAGAGTAGAGGCTGCCACTCCTCTGTCAGGAGCTGGACCGGTACCGCCTGGATCTCTGCGGTATTCAGTAGGTCCGGTGAAGTGGATCCGGTGTGTGTGGGTGTAGAGGAGAGGCTGCCACTCCTCTGTCAGGAGCTGTACCGGTACCGCCTGGATCTCTGCGGCATTCAGGAGGTCCGGTGAAGTGGATCCGGTGTGGGTGCGTGTAGAGGAGAGGCTGCCACTCCTCTGTCAGGAGCTGGACCGGTACCGCCTGGTTTTCTGTGGCATTCAGGAGGTGCGGTGGACTGGTTCTGGTTTGTGTAGAGGCTGCCGCTCCTCTGTCAGGAGCTGGACCGGTACCGCCTGGATATCTGCGGCATTCAGGAGGTCCAGTGGAGTGGCTCTGGTTTATGTAGAGTAGAGGCTGCCACTCCTCTGTTAGGAGCTGGACCGGTACCGCCTGGATCTCTGCGGTATTCAGGAGGTGCGGTGGACTGGTTCTGGTTTGTGTAGAGGAGAGGCTGCCACTCCTCTGTCAGGAGCTGTACCGGTACTGCCTAGATCTCTGCGGTATTCAGGAGGTCCGGTGAAGTGGCTCTGGTTTGTGTAGAGGACAGGCATCCGCTCCTCTATCAGGAGCTGTACCGGTACCGCCTGGATCTCTGCGGCATTCAGGAGGTCCGGTGGAGTGGTTCTGGTTTGTGTAGAGTAGAGGCTGCCACTCCTCTGTCAGGAGCTGGACCGGTACCGCCTGGATCTCTGCGGCATTCAGGAGGTCCGGTGAAGTGGCTCTGGTTTGTGTAGAGTAGAGAGACTGCCGCTCCTCTGTCGGCAGCTGGACCGGTACTGCCTGGATCTCTCTGGCATTCAGGAGGTCCGGTGGAGTGGCTCTGGTTTGTGTAGAGTAGAGGCTGCCACTTCTCTGTCAGGAGCTTTACCGGTACCTCCTGGACCTCTGCGGTATTCAGGAGGTCCGGTGGACTGGTTCTGGTTTGTGTAGAGTAGAGGCTGCCACTCCTCTGTCAGGAGCTGGACTGGTACCGCCTGGATCTCTGTGGCATTCAGGAGGTCCGGTGGAGTGGCTCTGGTTTGTGTAGAGGAGAGGCTGCCACTCCTCTGTAAGGAGCTGGACCAGTACCGCCTGGATCTCTGCGGTATTCAGGAGGTGCGGTGGACTGGTTCTGGTTTGTGTAGAGGCTGCCGCTCCTCTGTCAGGAGCTGGACCGGTACCGCCTGGATATCTGCGGCATTCAGGAGGTCCAGTGGAGTGGCTCTGGTTTGTGTCGAGTAGAGGCTGCCACTCCTCTGTCAGGAGCTGGACCGGTACCGCCTGGTTCTCTGCGGTATTCAGGAGGTCCGGTGAAGTGGTTCTGGTTTGTGTAGAGTAAAGGCTGCCGCTCCTCTATCAGGAGCTGTACCAGTACCGCCTTGATCTCTGTGGCATTCAGGAGGTCCGGTGGAGTGGATCCGGTGTGTGTGGGTGTAGAGGAGAGGCTGCCACTCCTCTGTCAGGAGCTGTACCGGTACCGCCTGGATCTCTGCGGCATTCAGGAGGTCTGGTGGAGTGGTTCTGGTTCGTGTAGAGTAGAGGAGAGGCTGCCGCTCCTCTGTCGGGAGCTGGACCGGTACCGCCTGGATCTCTGCGGTATTCAGGAGGTCCGGTGGAGTGGCTCTGGTTTGTGTAGAGGAGAGGCTGCCACTCCTCTGTCAGGAGCTGGACCGGTACCGCCTGGATCTCTGCGGTTTTCAGGAGGTCCAGTGGAGTGTCTCTGGTTTGTGTAGAGTAGAGACTGCCGCTCCTCTGTCGGGAGCTGGACCGGTACCACCTGGATCTCTACGGTATTCAGGAGGTCCGGTGGAGTGGTTCTTGTTTGTGTGTGTAGAGGAGAGGCTGCCACTCCTCTGTCAGGAGGTGTACCGCTACCGCCTGGATCTCTCTGGCATTCAGGACGTCCGGTGGAGTGGCTCTGGTTTGTGTAGAGTAGAGGCTGCCACTTCTCTGTCAGGAGCTGTACCGGTACCTCCTGGATCTCTGCGGTATTCAGGAGGTGCGGTGGACTGGTTCTGGTTTGTGTAGAGGCTGCCGCTCCTCTGTCAGGAGCTGGACCGGTACCGCCTGGATATCTGCGGCATTCAGGAGTCCAGTGGAGTGGCTCTGGTTTGTTTCGAGTAGAGGCTGCCACTCCTCTGTCAGGAGCTGGACCGGTAATGCCTGGATCTCTGCGGTATTCAGTAGGTCCGGTGAAGTGGATCCGGTGTGTGTGGGTGTAGAGGAGAGGCTGCCACTCCTCTGTCAGGAGCTGTACCGGTACCGCCTGGATCTCTGCGGCATTCAGGAGGTCCGGTGAAGTGGCTCTGGTTTGTGTTTGTAGAGTAGAGGCTGCCGCTCCTCTGTCAGGAGCTGTACCAGTACCGCCTGGATCTCTGTGGCATTCACGAGGTCTGGTGGAGTGGTTCTGGTTTGTGTAGAGTAGAGGAGAGGCTGCCGCTCCTCTGTCAGGAGCTGTACCAGTACCGCCTGGATCTCTGCGGGATTCAGGAGGTCCGGTGGACTGGTTCTGGTTTGTGTACAGTAGAGGAGAGGCTGCCGCTCCTCTGTCGGGAGCTGGACCGGTACCGCCTGGATCTCTGCGGCATTCAGGAGGTCCGGTGCAGTGGCTCAGGACATCACCGTCACCACCGTCAAAGCCGGTGGTGACGGTGATGGTGGAGGTGATGGTGGCGGTCATGGTGATGATGATAGCGGTGACGGTGATTATGATGGCGGTGATGGCGATGTTGGTTGATGATGATGGCATCACAGCGGTGATCTCTCTCTCTCTCCCCCCCACCTCTCTCTCTCTCTCTCTCCCCATCAGGACATCACCGCCAGTGGTGGCGATGGCGGTGATGGTGGAGGTGATGGTGGAGGTGATGGTTGGCTGTGCTTCTGCGTGCCCGGCTACCGAGGGGAGAGCTGTCAGCTGGAGATTGACGAGTGCCTGAGCCGTCCATGTCTACACGGGGGAAGCTGTCTCGACCTGGTGGACAACTACGTCTGTCTATGTGCACACGGACATACGGGTGGGTGGGGGGGTGGGTGGGGGGGTGGGTGGGTGGGTGGGGGGGGTGGGGGGGTGAGTGAGTGGGTGGGTGGGTGAGTGGGTGGGTGGGGGGGTGGGTGAGTGGGTGGGTGGGTGAGTGGGTGGGTGGGTGGGTGGGGGGGTGGGTGGGTGGGGGGGTGGGTGGGGGGGTGGGTGGGTGGGGGGGTGGGTGAGTGGGTGGGTGGGTGAGTGGGTGGGTGGGTGAGTGGGTGGGTGGGTGAGTGGGTGAGTGAGGGGGTGAGTGAGTGAGGGGGTGAGTGAGTGAGTGGGTGAGTGAGTGGGTGGATGAGTGAGTGGGTGAGTGAGTGGGTGGATGAGTGAGTGAGTGAGTGGGTGAGTGGGTGGGTGGATGAGTGAGTGAGTGAGTGGGTGAGTGGGTGGGTGGATGAGTGGGTGGGTGAGTGAGTGGGTGGTTGAGTAAGTGAGTGGGTGGGTGAGTGAGTGAGTGGGTGGGTGGGTGAGTGAGTGAGTGGGTGGGTGGGTGAGTGAGTGAGTGGGTGAGTGGGTTGGTGGGTGGGTGGGTGAGTGAGTGGGTGGTGGGTGGGTGGATGAGTGGGTGGGTGAGTGAGTGGGTGGTTGAGTAAGTGAGTGGGTGGGTGAGTGAGTGAGTGGGTGAGTGGGTTGGTGGGTGGGTGGATGAGTGGGTGGGTGAGTGAGTGGGTGGTTGAGTAAGTGAGTGGGTGGGTGAGTGAGTGGGTGGGTGAGTGAGTTGGTGAGTGAGTGGGTGAGTGGGTGAGTGGGTGGTTGAGTGAGTGGGTGGGTGATTGGGGGGGTTGGTGGGTGGGGAAGTGACCGAGTGGGTTGGTTGGTGGGTGATTAGGTTCGTGGGTGGGCGAGCGAGTGGGTGGGTGGGCGAGCGAGCGAGCGGTTGAGTAATCCCTCTCCTCCCCCTCCCCCACTCAGGCACCAACTGTGAGATCTCCCTGGACGCCTGCGACCTGCGGGGTCCTTGCCAGCCCACCGCCACCACGGCGGCCATGACACCTTCTCCACCTGCTCTTACAACAACAACAACAACGGCGACGACGACCTCCCCATCCCCCGCCATTCCCGCCGTCACCACAACCCCCGTAACTCCTCCTCCTCCTCCTCCTCCGATCGGAACCGCGGGCGACAGGACCACGGATCCCGGGGGGGCGACGGCGTCGCCGGCGCTCCCGGAATTCCGTCCGGGAAAATTCCCGGCGTTTGCGGGGGTTTCCACGGCCGCTCCAACTCCTCCTCCTACTCCAACTCCTCCTCCTACTCCAACTCCTCCTCCTACTCCAACTCCTCCATCTTCCCCTCCTCCTCCTCCTCCTCCTCCTCATTCCCCTCCTCCAACTCCTCCTCCTCCTGCGCCCTCTTCGGAAGTGCCGGGAGTTTTGGCGGGACCGTCGGACGTTCCTCCGGGAGTTACCTCGGGAACGCCAGACGCGGAGTTGGAAGTGGAGGAGGAGGAGGAGGAGGCGGTGGATGAGGAGGAGGAGGAGGCGGTGGATGAGGAGGCGGAGGAGGAGGAGGAGGCGGAGGAGGAGGAGGGGGGCGATGGAAAAATTGGGACACCTCATCCCAAAAGAATTCCCGAATTCCCGAGGACACGGACGGAGGCTCCCACGGGAACGTCGGAGGAGGACGAGGACGAGGAGGAGGAGGAGGAGGAGGAGGGACAGGTCACGCGGGACCCGGGAATCACGCCGGGCGCCGTCGCCGGCGACGTTGCCACCGGCGTCCCGGCGTCGGCGGGAACGTCGCCGATGCCGGGAGGGCGACGGGCGGGGAGCGTCTGGGAAGGCCGGGAGTTCCCGGCGCGCACGGGCGCGGGAGGGGAGCCTCCGGGAGGGAGAATTCCCGAAGGTTCCGAGGCGACGGAATTGCCGAGAGCGGAGGGGGAGAGGCCGGGGATGGGGCACCACCGGGAGGAGGAGGAGGAGGAGGAGGAGGCGGAGGAGGATGAGGATGAGGAGGAGAATTTTCCGGAAGGGATTTTGGTTTTCCCAGCCGGAACGCCGACGGTGCCAACCCTGGAGCGGGAGGAGAGAGGGCAGGAGCACTCAGCGGTGAGTGGGAGGTTGGGTTGGTGGGTGGTCGGGTGGGTGAGTGGGTGGGTGAGTGGGTGGGTGAGTGGGTGGGTGAGTGGGTGAGTGAATGGGTAGGTGGGTGAGTGGGAGGTTGGGTTGGTGGGTGGGAGGGTGGGTGGGTGAGTGAGTGGGTAGGCGAGTGGGTGGGTGGGTGGGTGAGTGGGTGGGTGGGTGGGTGAGTGGGTGGGTGGGTGGGTGAGTGAGTGGATAGGCGAGTGGGTGAGTGAGTGAGTGGGTGGGTGGGTGGGTGAGTGGGTGGGTGGGTGAGTGGGTGGGTGAGTGGGTGAGTGGGTGGGTGAGTGAGTGAGTGGGTAGGTGAATGGGTGGGTGAGTGAGTAAGTGGGTGGGTGAGTGAGTGGGTGGGTGAGTGGGTGAGTGGGTAGGTGAGTGGGTGGGCGAGTGGGTGGGTAGGTGGGTGAGTGGGTGGGTAGGTTGGTGGGTGAGTGGGTGGGTTAGTGGGTGAGTGGGTAGGCGGGTGGGTGGGTGAGTGGGTAGGCGAGTGGGTGGGTGAGTGGGTGGGTAGGTTGGTGGGTGAGTGGGTGGGTGGGTGAGCGGGTGGGTGAGTGGGTAGGCGAGTGGGTGGGTGAGTGGATGGTTGGGTGAGTGGGTGGGTAGGTTGGTGGGTGAGTGGGTGGGTGGGTGAGTGGGTGGGTGAGTGTGTAGGCGAGTGGGTGGGTGAGTGGGTGGATAGGTGAGTGGGTGGGCGGGTAGGTGAGTGGGTGGGTGGGTGAGTGAGTGAATGGGTGAGTGTGTGGGTGAGTGAATGGGTGAGTGTGTGAGTGAGTGAATGGGTGAGAGTGAGTGAATGGGTGAGTGTGTGAGTGAGTGAATGGGTGTGTGAGTGAATGGGTGTGTGAGTGAATGGGTGTGTGAGTGAGTGGGTGAGTGAGTGAGTGAGTGTGTGAGTGAGTGAGTGTGTGAGTGAGTGGGTGAGTGTGAGTGTGTGTCGGACGGGCAACTCTGTCGTGGACAGTGCTGTGGAGGGAGGTCCAATTGTGATTGGCTCCTCCCCTCATGGTATATGTGTCCACCACAGGGGCTCTGGACGGGTGCGAGGGGCTGGTAACCCCTCCACCTTCAATTAATTACCACTAAACCGCGAATTAAACTGAAATATATAACTAATAAGCTTGTGCCGGAGGCCCTGGGGGCAATCGTCTATGACGTCTCCTTTCCAGACCCCAATTGGCGGAGCCAGGAGATTGAATATCTACCCTCGGGGCTCCTCCAGAAACAACGAAAAGCCACTTCGTGTGGCCACGTGGAATGTTCGAACACTCCATGCGGAGGAGAGGCTGCCACACCTCTGTCGGGAGCTGGACTGGTACCGCCTGGATCTACGTGGCATTCAGGAGGTCCGGTGGACCGGCTCTGGCTCCTGCCACCATGAGGGGTGGACAGTCCTCTACTCGGGACAGCAGACTGCCAAACAACAGGGTGTGGCTCTTCTTTTGAACAAAAGAATGAAGGGGGCATGGGAGCGTGGTGGTGAGGTGTGGGAAGCTGTAAGCCCCAGGCTACTTTGGGCTCGCCTTCCCATCAACCGGAGGCGAGGAGTGGTGGTCGTGGTTACTTATGCCCCCACCGAAGATGAACATCCGTGGAGGGATGCAGGCAAAGCCGATGAGTCAGATGCCTTCTATGACCTCCTGTCACAGGTGCTGGCTAAAGTGGCCCCTCGGGATAGAGTCATCATGTTGGGGGACTTCAATGCCCGAGTTGGTCATGATACTGGCACCTGGTCTGGAGTGATTGGAGGGCATGAGCCAGATCAGCTCAATAACAACGGTAGGAGGCTGCTAGATTTTTGTGCAGCCCATGGGCTTGTAATTACCAACACGCTGTTCCGGCATCGGCGCATCCACACAACATCATGGATGCATGCCGGGTCCAAGCAAGAACATCTGCTGGACTACATAGTGACGGACCAGCAGGATGCGAGCCCATGTCCTTGACACCAGGACCTACCGTGGAGCTGATCTGCCCTCTGACCATCGACTAGTCATCTGTAAGATGCGCCTGCCATTCTTCCACTCCGGTGGTGAGTGTACACCCAGGACCACATTCCAACCTAAAGTGGCCTGTTCTCAGTTATCTGATGAAAGTTGCAAGCGAGAATTTCATCATCGCTTGCGGCTGGGATTGGCATCGTCCCCGACTCCTCCTGATGTCGAGGGTAAATGGGCGAGGTTTAGGACTGTGACTCATGCAGCATCAATGGCTGCTTTGGGTACGCGGTCCAGACCTCCCCAGAGACCCTGGCTGACAGAGGAGGTGTTCAGGATGGTTGAGAAAAGTGACAGGCCCACTGTCATCGGCTACAGAATCCCACGTCAGAGAATGAGGAGGCTTACCGCAGCCTTCGCTCGGAGGTTCGGAGAGCCGTGAGGCGCTGCAAGGATGGGTGGTGGTCGCGGGTTGCTGAGGAGATGGAGTCTGCCTCAGTGGCCCGTGATCACAAATCTCTATTTAACTCCATCAAAAAAGTAACCTGCAGCGCCACACCTATTACCATCATTAGAGGAAAAACGGTGATCCAATCTCCGACCCCCAGGAACAGGTTTGCAGATTTGCTGAGCATTTCTGTGAGGTCCTGGGGGAGGGAAAATCCCTCAGCCAGGAAAACATCGATGCACAAAGTGAGGATGACCCTGCTGAGGCTGCGGTGCCTCAAATATTGGAAGAAGTCACCCCCTGTGAGTGGCTGGCCGAGGTGCCATCTGTTGAGGAATTACTGAAGGCAATCCGGAGTCTGAGACCAGGAAAGGCAGCGGGCAGAGATGATCTCCCAAGCGAAATGCTGAGGGAGGGTGGCGTTTGTGCACAGACTGCCCTACATGACATCATAACAACGATCTGGACCACTGGACGGGTTCCGCAGGATTGGAAGGATGCCCTGGTGGTCCCCCTTTTTAAGAAGGGGGACCGCACAGACTGTAACAACTACAGGGGCATCTCACTCCTCAGTGTGCCGGGAAAGGTCCTGGCAAGGATTATTCAACATCGCCTTGCCAGGCACGCTGAGGAGAGGCTTGCGGAGCCCCAATGCGGTTTCAGGAAAGGGCGGTCCTGCACAGATGCCATATTTTCTGTCCGTCTGCTACAGCAGAGGTGTAGGGAATTCCAACAAGACCTACATCTCTGCTTTATTGACCTGGTCAAGGCCTATGATACCATCAGTAGGCCTGGGCTCTGGGTTGTTCTTAGTGCTTTTGGAGTACCTGACCCTCTGCTCACGATCATTAAGGACCTTCATGATGGTGAGCGGGCCCGGGTAAAACTACGTGGCCGGGAGTCCGAGCCTTTCCCTGTACACCTTGGGGTGCGACAGGGATGTCCTCTGGCTCCCACATTATTTAACATCTATTTTGACCACGTAGTTCGTGATGCCTTCAATAACTGTACCGGGGGAATCTCCATATGGTACAGATATAATGGGGGGCTGATCGATGCCCGGGTGCGGTCAAGGGATGGCTCCCTATTGCTCAACCACGTTATGTATGCTGATGATTTGGTAATAGCTGCTCAGTCAGAGGAGGAGTTGGAGACGCTGCTGCTGAGACTGGAGCGTGCCACTAAGAGGTGGGGCCTTACCATCAGCCCCACCAAAACTAAGCACCTGCCTGGGTATTTTGTACCATCGGACACTCCACCCCCACAACGGTGATGGTGTAGTTGTGGAGAGAGTGGAGAGTTTCCCATACCTGGGCAGTGTGCTCATGACCGGCTCCGGTTTAACAGCAGAGGTCTCACTCCGAATCAGTCGAGCGGCAATATCTTTTCATCGGTTGCGTAACGCTGTGTGGAAGCTACCTGATCTGTCGCTCCGCACTAAGCTTCAGGTCTTCTCGGCCACGGTCATTCCCTCCCTTCTCTACGCTTGCGAAACGTGGACCCACCTAATGGAACATCTTCGCCGGTTAGAAACATTTAGGCTGGGGTGGGGGGGGGTGGGGGGTGGGGGTGTGGGGTGGGGGGTGGGGGGTGGTGAAAGTCGATTTGCCATTCCCCTCACGGCGTTTGTAGCCACCACGGTGGCTAACGGGGGGCTCTGGACCGCCGGTGTGAGGGGCTGGTGACCCCCCCACCACTCTCTCACCCCCCACTCTCCACCCACTGTCTCCACCCACACTCTCCACCCACACTCTCTAAACCCCCACTCTCTAACCCCCCACTCTCCACCCACACTCTCCACCCACTGTCTCCACCCCACTCTCCACCCACACTCTCTAACCCACTCTCCACGCCACTCTCCCCCCACACTCTCCACCCACACTCTCCACCCCACTCTCCCCCCACACTCTCCACCCACACTCTCCACCCACTCTCTCTAAACCCCCACTCTCTAACACCCCACTCTCCACCCCACTCTCCACCCACTCTCTCCACCCACTCTCCACCCCACTCTCCACCCACTCTCCACCCACACTCTCCACCCACACTCTCTAACCCACTCTCCACCCCACTCTCCCCCCACACTCTCCACCCACACTCTCCACCCCACTCTCCCCCCACACTCTCCACCCACACTCTCCACCCACTCTCTCTAAACCCCCACTCTCTAACACCCCACTCTCCACCCTACTCTCCACCCACTCTCTCCACCCACTCTCCACCCCACTCTCCACCCACTCTCCACCCACACTCTCCACCCACTCTCCCCCCACACTCTCTAACCCCCCACTCTCTAACACCCCACTCTCTACCCACACTCTCCATCCACTCTCCACCCACACTCTCCACCCACACTCTCCACCCACTCTCCACCCACACTCTCCACCCACACTCTCCACCCACTCTCCACCCACTCTCTCTAAACCCCCACTCTCTAAAACCCCACTCTCCACCCACTCTCCACCCACTCTCCCCCCACTCTTTAACCCCCCACTCTCCACCCACTCCACCCACTCTCTTCCCACTCTTTCCACCCACTCTCTAACACCCCACTCTCCACCCACTCTCTCTAAACCCCCACTCTCTAACCCCTCACTCTCCCCCCACTCTCTCCACCCACTCTCCACCCACAATCTCCACCCACTCTCTCTAACCCACTCTCCACCCACACTCTCTAAACCCCCACTCTCTAACCCCCCACTCTCTCCACACACTCTCCACCCACACTCTCCACCCACACTCTCCACCCACTCTCTAACCCCCCACTCTCCACCCACACTCTCCACCCACTCTCTAACCCACCACTCTCCACCCACACTCTCTAAACCCCCACTCTCTAACCCACTCTCCCCCCACTCTCCCCCCACCACTCTCTAACCCCCCCCACTCCCCCCACCACTCTCCCCAACCACTCCCCCCCCCCACACCCCCCCACCCCCCCCACCACTCTCCCCCCCCACCCCCCCCACCACTCTCCCCCCACCACTCTCTAACCCCCCCACTCTCTAACCCACTCTCCACCCACACTCTCGAAGCCCCCACTCTCTAACCCACTCTCCACCCACACTCTCCCCCTCCACACTCTCTCCCCCCACCACTCTCCCCCCACCACTCCCCCCCCCACCACTCTCCCCCCACCACTCCCCCCCCCCCCCCACCACTCTCCCCCCACCACTCTCTAACCCCCCCACTCTCTAACCCACTCTCCACCCACACTCTCGAACCCCCCACTCTCTAACCCACTCTCCACCCACACTCTCCCCCTCCACACTCTCTCCTCCCCACCACTCCCCCCCCCCCCCCCCCCCCACCACTCTCCCCCACCACCACTCTCCCCCCACCACTCCCCCCCCCCCCACCACTCTCCCCCCACCACTCTCTAACCACCCCCCCCCACCCACCCACTGTAGACAGGCGAGGTGTCTCTGCTCTCCGCCTGCCTCCTCTCGGCCTGCGGCTCGGTCCTGCTGCTGCTGCTCCTCTCGTCGGCCGCCTGTCTCCTCCTGCGGCTGTGTCCCTCGCGAGACCACCCCGGCGACAACACCGGCACCACCGGCACCACCGGCACCGGCACCGGCACGGCAGCCCGGCACCACCGGCACCACCGGCACCACCGGCTCCTCCACGGCTGCCTTCGCGGCGTCGCCGGTAGGGGCGGAGCCGGTGGGAGCTACTGCCCCAGCCGCGAGGAAAAATCCGGAGCGGCCAGGCTGGAGATGTGGAACGTCATGGGGGCGCCTGCCGCAGAGAGACTCATTTAGTAGAGCTGGTGGGGGTGGTGGTGGTGGTGGTGGGTGGTGGTGGTGGTGGTGACGGTGGTGGTGGTGGTGGGGGTGGTGGTGGTGGTGGTGGTGGTGGGGGTGGTGGTGGTGGTGGTGGGGGTGGTGGTGGTGGTGGGGGTGGGGGTGGTGGTGGTGGTTGTTGTGGTGGTGGTGGTGGTGATGGTGGTGGTGGTGGTGGTGACGGTGACGGTGGTGGTGACGGTGGTGGTGGTGACGGTGACGGTGGTGGTGACAGTGGTGACGGTGGTGGTGACGGTGGTGGTGACGGTGGTGGTGGTGACGGTGGTGGTGACGGTGGTGGTGGTGACGATGGTGGTGGTGGTGGCGCACCGGGGCAGGGTTTACATCTGGGAGGGGAGGGGTGAACTTTTTGATTGGCCGTGGCCCAGCGCGGCTGTCCGCCTCGAGCAGTTGGGCCGGGCGGGCGGCCGGGCGGCCGGGCGGGTGGCCGGGCGAGATTATCGCCAATCGGCAGGTCGGTCGGCCGGTCGGTCGGTCGTCGGTAAGCTTGTAAATGGAACGATCAAGACGGTCACTTCATTGACAGGCCCTGCCTCGAGGCCTCACCCAAGGGCTCACCCCAAGGCCTCACCCGAGGGCTCACCCAAGGCCTCACTAAGGCCTCACCAAGGCCTCCCCAAGGCCTCCCCAAGGCCTCACCAAGGCCTCACCCAAGGCCTCCCCAAGGCCTCACCCAAGGCCTCACCAAGGACTCCCCTAGGCCTCCCCAAGGCCTCCCCAAGGCCTCACCCAAGGCTTCACCCAAGGCCTCACCCAAGGCCTCCCCAAGGCCTTCCCCAAGGCCTCACCCAAGGCCTCACCCAAGGCCTCACCAAGGCCTTCCCCAAGGCCTTCCCCAAGGCCCCCCCAAGGACTCCCCAAGGCCTCACTCAAGGCCTCACCCAAGGCCTCACCAAGGCCTCACCAAGGCCTCCCCTAGGCCTCCCCAAGGCCTCCCCAAGGCCTCACCCAAGGCCTTCCCCAAGGCCTTCCCCAAGGCCCCCCCAAGGACTCCCCAAGGCCTCACCAAGGCCTCACCCAAGGCCTCACCCAAGGCCTCACCAAGGACTCCCCCAAGGCCTCCCCAAGGCCTTCCCCAAGGCCTTCCCCAAGGCCTCACCCAAGGCCTCACCCAAGGCCTCACCAAGGCCTCACCAAGGCCTCACCCAAGGCCTCACCCAAGGCCTCACCCAAGGCCTCCCCAAGGCCTTCCCCAAGGCCTCACCCAAGGCCTCACCAAGGCCTCACCCAAGGCCTCACCAAGGCCTCACCAAGGCCTCACCAAGGACTCCCCCAAGGCCCCCCCAAGGACTCCCCAAGGCCTCACCCCAAGGCCTCCCCAAGGCCCCCCCAAGGCCTCACCAAGGCCTCACCAAGGCCTCCCCAAGGCCTCCCCAAGGCCTCACCCAAGGCCTCACCAAGGCCTCACCCAAGGCCTCCCCAAGGCCTCCCCAAGGCCCCCCCAAGGCCCCCCCAAGGCCTCCCCAAGGCCTCACCAAGGCCTCACCAAGGCCCCCCCAAGGCCTCCCCAAGGCCCCCCCCAAGGCCTCCTCAAGGCCTCACCAAAGGCCTCCCCCAAGACCTCACCCAAGGCCCTCCCCAGCGTCTTATAAACCCAGATGTGTGAACTCGGGGACTGAATTCCAAGGTTCCTACAACTGTGACTGTGTGAATGAGTGACAGGGTGAATCTGTGTGACGGTGAATCTGTGCGTGTGTGAGTGACAGTGAATCTGTGTGTGTGAGAGTGAATCTGTGTGTGTGAGAGTGAATCTGTGTGTGTGTGAGAGTGAATCTGTGTGTGAGAGTGAATCTGTGTGTACATGCGTGAATGTGTGTCTGAGAGTTAATCTGTGTGTGAGAGTGAATGTGTGAGTGAGAGTGAATCTGTGTGCGTGACAGTGAATCTGTGCGTGTGAGAGTGAATCTGTGAGTGACAGTGAATCTGTGTGTGTGAGAGAATCTGTGTGAGTGAGTGTGAACCTGTGTGTGTGAATCTGTGTGTACGTGAGTGAATGTGTGTCTGAGAGTTAATCTGTGTGTGAGAGTGAATCTGTGTGTACATGAGTGAATGTGTGTCTGAGAGTTAATCTGTGTGTGAGAGTGAATCTGTGTGTGTGTGAGAGTGAATCTGTGTGTGAGAGTGAATCTGTGTGTACATGAGTGAATGTGTGTCTGAGAGTTAATCTGTGTGAGAGTGAATCTGTGCGTGTGAGTGAGAGTGAATCTGTGTGCACGTGAGTGAATGTGTGTCTGAGAGTTAATCTGTGTGTGAGAGTGAATGTGTGAGTGAGAGTGAATCTGTGTGCGTGACAGTGAATCTGTGCGTGTGAGAGTGAATCTGTGAGTGACAGTGAATCTGTGTGTGTGAGAGTGAATCTGTGAGTGACAGTGAATCTGTGTGAGTGAGAGTGAATCTGTGTGCACGTGAGTGAATGTGTGTCTGAGAGTTAATCTGTGTGTGAGAGTGAATGTGTGAGTGAGAGTGAATCTGTGTGTACATGAGTGAATGTGTGTCTGACAGTTAATCTGTGTGTGAGTGAATCTGTGTGCGTGACAGTGAATCTGTGCGTGTGAGAGTGAATCTGTGAGTGAGTGTGAACCTGTGTGTGTGTGAATCTGTGTGTACGTGGGTGAATGTGTGTCTGAGAGTTAATCTGTGTGTGTGAGAGTGAATCTGTGAGAGTGAATGTGTGAGTGACAGTGAATCTGTGTGTGAGTGAATCTGTGAGTGTGACGGTTAATCTGTGTGTGTGAGTGAATCTGTGTGAATGACTGAATCTGTGTATGTGGGTGAATCTGTATGTGAGTGAATCTGTGTGTGAGAGTGTGAATCTGTGTGTGTGAGAGTGAATCTCTGGTGTGTGTGAGAGTGAATCTGTGTGAGTGAATCTGCGTGTGAGAGTGAATCTGTGTGTATGTTAGTGAGAGTGAATCTGTGTGTGAGAGTGAATCTGTGTGTATGTTAGTGAGAGTGAATCTGTGTGTGAGTGAATCTGTGTGTATGTTAGTGAGAGTGAATCTGTGTGTGAGAGTGAATCTGTGTGTATGTTAGTGAGAGTGAATCTGTGAGTGAATCTGTGTGTATGTTAGTGAGTGAATCTGTGTGTGAGAGTGAATCTGTGTGTGTTGGTGAGAGTGAATCTGTGTGTGTGAGTCTGTGTGTATGTTAGTGAGAGTGACTGTGTGTGAGTGACTGTATGTGAGTGAGAGTGAATCTGTGTGTGAGAGTGAATCTGTGTGTGTTGGTGAGAGTGAATCTGTGTGTGTGAGTCTGTGTGTATGTTGGTGAGAGTGACTGTGTGTGTGAGTGACTATGTGAGTGAGAGTGAATCTGTGTGTATGTTAGTGAGAGTGAATCTGTGTGTGAGAATGAATCTGTGTGTATGTTAGAGAGAGTGAATCTCTGTGTGTGTGTGAGTGACTGTGTGTGAGTGAATCTCTGTGTGTATGTTAGTGAGAGTGAATCTGTGTGTGTGAGTGACTGTGTGTATGTTAGTGAGAGTGACTCTGTGTGAGAGTGAATCTGTGTGTATGTTAGTGTGAGTGAATCTGTGTGTGAGAGTGAATCTGTGTGTATGTTAGTGAGAGTGAATCTGTGTGTGAGAGTGAATCTGTGTGTATGTTAGTGAGAGTGAATCTGTGTGTGAGTGAATCTGTGTGTATGTTAGTGAGAGTGAATCTGTGTGTGTTGGTGAGAGTGAATCTGTGTGTGTGAGTCTGTGTGTATGTTAGTGAGAGTGGCTGTGTGTGAGTGACTGTATGTGAGTGAGAGTGAATCTGTGTGTATGTTGATGAGAGTGAATCTGTGTGTATGTTAGTGAGAGTGAATCTGTGTGTGAGAGTGAATCTGTGTGTGAGAGTGAATCTGTGTGTGTTAGTGAGAGTGAATCTGTGTGTGAGAATGAATCTGTGTGTATGTTAGTGAGAGTGACTCTGTGTGTGAGTGACTGTATGTGAGTGAGAGTGAATCTGTGTGTATGTTGATGAGAGTGAATCTGTGTGTATGTTAGTGAGAGTGAATCTGTGTGTGAGAGTGAATCTGTGTGTGTTGGTGAGAGTGAATCTGTGTGTGTGAGTCTGTGTGTATGTTAGTGAGAGTGACTGTGTGTGAGTGACTGTGAGTGAGAGTGAATCTGTGTGTATGTTTGTGAGAGTGAATCTGTGTGTATGTTAGAGAGAGTGAATCTCAGTGTGTGAGTGACTGTGTGTGAGTGAATCTCTGTGTGTATGTTAGTGAGAGTGAATCTGTGTGTGAGTGACTGTGTGTATGTTAGTGAGAGTGACTCTGTGTGAGAGTGAATCTGTGTGTGTGTTAGTGAGAGTGAATCTGTGTGTGAGTGAATCTGTGTGTATGTTAGTGTGAGTGAATCTGTGTGTGTGACTGTGTGTATGTTGGTGAGAGTGAATCTGTGTGTGTGTGAGTGACTGTGTGAATGTTAGAGAGTGAATCTCTGTGTGAGAGTGACTGTGTGTGAGTGACTGTATGTGATTGAGAGTGACTCTGTGTGTGTGGGGAGTGACTGTATGTGTGTGAGTGAATCTGTGTGTGTGTGAATCTGTGTGTGTGTGAGTGACTGTGTGTGAGTGACTATGTGAGTGAGAGTGACTCTGTGTGTGTGTGAGTGACTGTGTGTGTGTGAGTGACTGTGTGTGAGTGACTGTGAGTGAGAGTGACTCTGTGTGTGTGTGAGTGACTGTGTGTGAGTGACTATGTGAGTGAGAGTGACTCTGTGTGTGTGTGAGTGACTGTATGTGTGTGTGAGTGACTGTATGTGAGTAAGAGTGACTGTGTGTGAGTGACTATGTGAGTGAGAGTGACTGTGTGTGTGAGTGACTCTGTGTGTATGACTGTATGTGAGTGAGAGTGACTCTGTGTGAGTGACTGTATGTGAGTGAGAGTGACTGTGTGTATGTTAGAGTGTATCTCTGTGTGAGTGACTGTGTGTGAGTGAGAGTGACTCTGTGTGTGAGTGACTCTGTGTGTATGTTAGTGAGAGTGAC